GAGGGCATAGGAAGGATATGGGGGAGCATGGCAGGGATATGGGGGAGCACCGGAGGGGAGAAAGGGAAGGGTGAGGGGAAAGGGAGGGGAGCAGTATTGGGGGAGATGGGGGGTAGAATAGGATGGGAGGTGTGGAGGTCTAGGGACTGTGGAGGTGGGGAAGGGCTGTGAAGGGCCCAGGATGGTGAGAGAGGCTTTGGGAGCTGTGCTGAGGTGCTGAAGAAGGGTTCTGGGAGGATGGGGAGATGCTGGGGGACAGGATGGGTTGTGGGGAGATGAAGCCTCCTTGAGCCGTGTAAGAGGAAGAGGCACTCCTGAAGCTCCTGTTGCTGTCAAACAAGGAACAAACCTGAAGGTGTTGGGAGCCAGACCGACTGCATGGTTGTTTGCAGGGAGTTCCTGTGTCTAGAAGCATTGTTTAGTTCTGGCTCCAAACTTGGCTGGATTGTAGTCTGGCGCTTTTTTTTTTTTTTTTTTTTCCTTTTTTTCTTTTTATGAGGTTGGGAAAGCACAGCTTTGGGGCTCTATAGTCATCCTATTGGAGTAGGGAAGTAACAGGGTGTTAGAGTTGGCCAAATCCCAAGCTGGGTATCTTGTGCGGCTTCCCTGCTTCTACCCCATAGTCTGTGGGAGAAATCACAGTTGTATTGCCTCTATGCATTCACAGCTGCCTCCCCTTTGGAGGGGCAACTTGGTGCCTCAGTGACGGGCGAGCTCATTTTTAATAGTGTGTGTTCGCTCTCTGTGAAAGGTACTGTGCAATTCTCTATTTCATCGTGGGTTTCAGTTTGTGAAATCAAATAAAAAACTTTTTCTCACTATTTTTTCCTGGTAAGTGGATGTGTTCGGTGTTCAAGCAGTAAAGCGGGCTCTTTTAAACTGCTGTGTGTGTCACACATATAGCGAGGGCTTTTATTTCTCTAGAAAAGTAAATCTAAGTGGCAAGTTTGCAACCTGTGATGACAGTCCTGCAGGGTCTCTGACTCAGATGGTGTCTTCAGGAGGGCAGGGTGAGGAGGAGTCTGAATTAGAGCGGAACTGAGCCTGATTTCACCACACAACTGATCTCTGTGCAACATCCATCATATCAAAACATAAAATATAGGAGCTCTGGGCCCTAAAATGCCTAGTTTAAACTTAAGAGTGCTTGCAGGAAGTGCCAGAATGCCATACATGTGCACACGACCTGGATGTTGAAAAGAAATGGTCTCTATGTCCAAACTTATCCTTGTCCTTGGAATATAGTGTATTCACAAAGAAGATTGTCAGTTTTTGAATGAGCTCTAATCTTTATAGGCACATGGTGATGTCTTAAATATGGAACAACCAGTCATTTTGCTTGAAAATGCTAAGCAGAGACGCTATCCTTGTAGTCTTTATTGCATGGTAACTGCACAAAGTTAGTGTTATACACTCTTGTCTATAGCTGCCCTCGCTAATTTACTCTGTGGTGAGGTTTCTGTGCCTTGTTTCCCCTACTCTTTTACAAGCGGCTGGCAAACATCCACAGCGTGTCCTAGGGTGAAAGTGTGCTTTTATTGTCGGGGAAGGCATAATCTGCAGTTGTGGCAGACTAGTTTGTTAGGGTTATTTTCCATGCAGGGAGGTTAGAGCAGCACAATCTAGTGTGGTAATTCCCTGAAGGGAGGTCCCTGAGCACTGTTTTGGATGGTGTGTGGGTCTCTTCCTTCAGTCATGAATTTCGGATGGCAGGAGGATGTCTGGTGCTGGAGAAGGAACCTGGGCTGCAGGGAAGGGTCTAGGTGGGATGGAGGGGATGAGGAAGAGGTAATCGGATGTTGTAAGGGTCCTTTCTGGAAATCCTGAGGCGTGCTGAGGGTGTTTGTGAGGGTTTGAACTGGAACAGTAACTTCTCCTTTATTAGCTCTCCTTATAGGGACTTGTTTAACCCCAGCAGACAGGAAGAGGTATCTGTTAAATTCACACGCTTTTAATTTGCACTGACGTCCACGAGCAGAAAAGCTCATCTGCTGCTCTGTAGGACTTGGGGTGGGATGTGTTTAGCAGAGTGAGCAGGCTCTGGAAGTTGGGGTTTGCCCAGGGCGTTTCACTGACAGCCTGAAGTGAAGATGATGATGATTTTTCAAAGCTTCTTGTATTTTTGTGCTTTTATTTTCTAGATAGGGTCTTGAGCATCTCTTAGTGAGTTCTGCAAAGCTTGATTTAACCTGGTTTTACTGTAGGGGTAATTGCCCCAGAAAAAATACCTTTGTACAAACAACACCCCGTTTCACCGTAGTGCCACGAACGGGTAAACTCCGGCAGCAGAATTGTTTGGGTGTGGGATTCGCACTGTTTGCATCTACTTTGAAAATAGGGCCATGTCCATAGGAGGAAAAACTACAGCTGTGTGCTGTGAGAGAGACTGGTGATGAAATATTAATAGTCCCAACTGAGTCACCAGCCAGACCGGATTGGGTCTCCTGCTTCCTAAACTGATCAGGAGTTGTACAACTACATGAACAACTTAGTATGGCTTCCCAAGAAAATGAGGCTTGTGTGATACTGCTGCTGTGTGTAGCTGGCTGTGCGTTTCCTGCTCTTGACAAATGTTGAGTCTGTGCCTCTCACAGCCAAATCAGGCGGGAGGCAGAAATTTGAAAGTCAAATTTCTCTAAGTTTCATGAAAATAAGTATCCTGGGAGAAGAGGGGAAAAAACCCTAATTAGAGGCACCTACTGTGGGAGAGTGCAGCATCAGCTCAGCTTTTGCTAGGTAGGAAATAATCCGCATGGGGAGATGACCTGTGGGATATATTTGCAGGAAGCTGACTTCATTTCCACTGGTGTCTGTAGGATAGCTCCTCAGGTGCATCTGCGTGGCAGTGAGCTTGGTAGAGACTGGGATACTTCTGAAGAATTTCAAGCAATAATAAAGGGTGAATACAATTGAGAAGCTGTAAAACTACAGTTGTGCTGGTGTTTACTTATTGACAGAATTAGCTGCTTCGTGTCTTGTTTCTGTTAGGTAAATAGTAAGAAACTGAGGCAAAGAGGCTACGTGCTCCATCTGATGAGTCATTGTCTGAGCTGGGATTAAACTCGCATGCCTCTTGGCGTGCGGGTTTCTGCTCAGAGTGTGGTTGCATTTCTCCGTGAAACCTATGAGCTCTGTAGATGTGAGCTATCGTAGTGGACCTGAACCGCCTGGAGAGGACGTTGGAGAGCTGTCATTTGGTGAGCGAGGACAGGAAAACGTGGTGCCCAAAGCTCTTCCTGCCCGAGAAAGCTGGAGCTCCCTCTTAACTTGGGCGGTGTGATGTTAGTTGCTCAGACTCTACCTGGATTGCCTTCCCCAGAACTGGCATTAAAAACTTCCTTGTCTGGCCATACCCCAATTTCCAAATATCTGTCTTATTTGAGTCTAGGATAAATTTTTCTGAATCCATGGAGATACCTGTGCAAACAAGGTGGGAGACCTATCCTTGTTAACAGATGCACTGCTGAAGGCCAGATAAAATGACAGATCACCTGATGGCTCTTGTGGCTCAGCTGTGATTCTTTTTGAAGGAATTCATAGTTTTCCCTGCTGTAACAAAATAATTTCTGCTCCTAGGTGATGTTGGAAACTACTATTATGGGCAAGGACATCCAATGAAACCCCACAGGATCCGGATGACCCACAACCTACTGCTGAACTATGGCCTCTACAGGAAGATGGAGATATATGTAAGTGTAGGGCTGGTCATGAAGAGAAACGTGTATGAAAGATCTTAGTTTACATGTCAGGTTTTAATTTTGATGCTTCAGACTCGTAAGTTCTCTGTTGATGAGCCAAAGGAGAAAGGAAAAAAACCCAATCAACAGTTGTTCTGATTTATTTCTGCTTTCTTCTGATTGCTTGTAGTGAGATGTTCTTTGCTTCAGATAAGCTTTGGAGACTGGAAAATTGCTTTTCTCCCTGTAACTTAAATATTTTCTTTCTCTAGATGTGTAATACATTCCAGTCTCCGGTAATGGCATTCTTGCCTTTGAAAATAAGTTTCTCTTGTTTAATGCTGCTGGTTTGACTTTTTTGCTGTTCTTGGGACTAAATCAGAGATTGGAAATCGAAATTAGGGAGAGAAATGTGTTTCAAAACAAGCCTTACTCTTTTTTTGTCCTTGCAGCGCCCTCACAAGGCAAATGCAGAAGAAATGACCAAGTACCACAGTGATGACTACATAAAATTTCTGAGATCTATTCGCCCAGATAACATGTCTGAGTACAGCAAGCAGATGCAAAGATGTAAGCTATGCATGCGTTTAGTGCTGTAGTTCCTGCCAGTGTTAAAATCTGTGGTTCTGGGAATCCTAGGCCAATTTTAGAGGTTTGTGATAAAAAGAGTAGGAAGAACCATGGGAAGTTGTCTTTCACCTGACTTTGGTTTTGATTTTTTCCGGTAAATCAAGCATTTTAAAACTGGGTCCCTCTCTTAAGCCAATATGCCAAAATGCTGAGGAAAACCCTTTGACCTGGCTATCTTTTTTTGGTCTTGTGTTTTGATGGGAACTCTTCTAAATTGCCTTCCTGGCTGGGAGATGACTGAACTACTCCATTTATGAGCTGTGTGTATTCTGTGTAATTGCTTATCTTTAACCAGGGCTGTTGGGGTGGGAATCATGTAATTTAAAACAAACAAAACAAAAAAAACCCAACTCATCAATTGTGTCCAAAATCTTCAGTAACCCTCAAGGATTTTCAGGGCAATGGCACTTTGGAAGTGGGAGAGGGTTGAGATGCACAATGATACCTGTCCACTTTTGTCCGAATGGTTTATTTTTTGAGCTAATCTCTTGTTCTAACCTCTCTGGTGCGTGGAAGTGCTCTTTAATGGCGACTTCAATGTTACAGAAACCTTTTTTTTTGTCTCTCTGCAACTCTGGGATGATGTTTTTGGCAATGACTGCGGCAAACTGGGTTTCTAGCAAGTATAGAGAAATAGTGGAGAAGGCTCAACATTCATTTAAACAGTATTTTAGTCTTGCACACTGCAATCCTCAAGAGCAGAAAAAAATTGTTAGCCTGTGGGATTCATTTATGTGGAGTAAGTGTAATCTCCAATTTAGAAGAAATACGGGTCTCGAGTCTGAAGTAGAGGGACTTGGAAATCTGGTATGAGCTGAAGGGGACAGATATTAAGGCACAAGCTTGTAAGAGGAATGGGTAATATCGTTCGTGAGTAATATACAGTGAAAGACTTTCTACGGTAAATGATATGCCTTAATATACCAAATGACATATACCAAAGTACATATTTACACAAACTGAACTGTTTACCCCTGAAGCAGCTATGGCTCATAAACGCCCACTCTGCTCTCTCTGGTAGTCAACATTTTTTGTACTGTACTTCCACAGAACTATTTTTACCTGAAGGAGGCAAAATATGAAAACTAATCTTAAACATGCGGAGGACGGAGCTTTTCTTCCACAAGACCTGCAAAATAATAGTTTCTGTGTAGCTGGAGAACTAGCACAGGAGGCTCAGAACAGAGATTGGGGATACAGGAGGCAAGGTCACTGCTCCCAAGTACAGTGGCAGGTCTCTGTAGCCTGCTTGGTGCTTCAGCTTTCCTTTTGAAGGAAGGATAGCTGCTATGAATTCCGTAAGGATGGTTCCACCTTTAATACTGGGCTCTCTCTGGTTGTGCTCTCCCAGATAGGAAGCTCCTAACCCACCCACTGCAGGGAAGAAGGAGCATCTGTGCCTCTCATCTTCCACCAGAGCTTTATGCCTATACTCAAGTGATTGAACCCCGTTATTAATATCCCTCCTTAGTAGTCCTGGCTGCTTTGAATCTTCTGGTGGGAAAAAGCCCAACTGGCTTCTGTTTACACAGCAGCTCTTGTCTTTGCCAGGTATAGCAGAGGGGCATCCTCAAATACTGTCAGTGCTGCCCACAAAGTTCTGAGGGGCAGTAAAGGTAGTGAACAGTCTCTAATTTCATTCTGCTAATGCCATGTTGCCTGCCTGAGGACTTGGAAAGACTGCTCTGTAACCTAAAGGGCAAGAAGTTTAATTTGTTATAATGGGAAGCATGCAGAAATTGATGGCTTAACTTCTCACTTAACAGGCAAGCTTCCAACCATCTCTTTAAATTAATTGTTCAAACTCTGCCAGTTGCCATGCCCTGCTGAAACAATTGGAAAGCGGGAACAATTGCTTCCTTCTGGGTCTCCTGATGGGTATCGTCCTTTTCAGAGATCCCTGTCTCGAACTAGGACCATTCAAACTCCCTTATCACACAGTCTTTGTGGAGACTGCAAGAACTGTGGTGGTTGTGTCTTTCTCCTTAAGCACAGAAGTAAACATTCTACAGAAGTTGTTACAGAATACAAATTTGTTTGTTTGTAAAAGCAAACCTTGAAAAATCTAGATTCAATAGGAGTCTGTTGCTACTGGGTTTATTTTTAATCATGAAACTACTTACAGTAGAAATTTATCCAGGCCAAAACTACAGTACTGCTGAGAACTTAAAAACTGACTGTCTGATGTGAAGTAAAAGGAATGTACAAAGTGTAACAGAAGAGATGTGGGTGTAAACTGCTTGTCCAGTACGCACCACTATCTCCCATCTCCCCACTTTCTCCTGCAGTACTGGCGCTATTTGCTTTCTCAGCTCCTTGTCAGCAATACAGCAGGAAACAGGAGCAAAAACCTTTCCCACTTGCTGTGGGGTTGTGTAATGGAGCTCGGTGTCAGCTCTGTATTCAGAAACAGCACTATTCCTGCCAGAAGGCCCGTGTGGGGTAGCGAGGGGTGCTGGCCCCCCACAGCCTGCATGTGACCTTGGTGACCAGCATGTGCTGCCAGGGCAGAGCAGAATACTATAAATGTGCTGTCTCAACAAGCGCCGCTTGAGTTGCTGCTAAGGATGAGTATCGGTATTACAGAGCTCTTATTGATAGCATCTCCCCTCCGCCCACTCATTTTCCAGCGTGATTGGTTTCGGGATCCCTCGTAGTGCACCCCGGTAGATGGCGTGCCGCTCTCGCCAGAGCTCCTGGGACCTGCTTTCACATTTTCTTGCAAGTCAGGAGCATCTTCTCCACAGCAACAACCTTTTTGCCCTATCAGGCAATCCTCAGGTTGATTACATGAATGTTTTATGATTTGTGTGTGGTATTTTGTTGTTTAAAATCTTTGATCTCTTAATCTGTTTAGCTTTTTAAATCAGAGTGGCGGCATAAGCTTTGCCATTTATTTGTGGTTTTGTCTTACTAACTCTTGTATTCTTTTCAAGTTAATGTTGGGGAAGACTGCCCTGTGTTTGATGGGTTGTTTGAGTTTTGTCAGCTCTCTGCTGGAGGCTCAGTTGGTAAGCTCACATGTCGTACATTCTTTTCTTTTTCTCTTAAGCAGATGTATGTAATGTAGCTTTGTCTAGGAAATAAATTGTTGTAGGTGGTGGTGGGGAAGCCTTGTGAACCTATTTCTGATTTCCTTAATAATTAGATCTGGATTTCTTCCCATGCGAGAGTTCAACCCTTTTGCACATTGGCAGATCCCTCAACATTTGTTAAGCATATCTTCATTAATCTGGGTTACTTCATTGAACATATGAAGGACTTCGTAAGTGGTATAACAACATCGACAGCAGTAGAGTTAAAACAAAACCGCAGCAGCAACAGGGGTTTAATAAAAAAAATCAACGTGAGCTTTACAGAAAAAAAGTTGTAAAAACCTTGCTCTGGACAGGCATAACCTGGAAAGGAGAGAAAAGGGTTACTTTATCCATTGTTTTTAACAAAAAGCCACTGTCTCTGGGCATGAGGCAAAATAGAACCTGAAAGGTTTCAGTAAGCTCCCTGAAAGCCGGAACATTTAAAACGCTTTCACTATTTTCAAATACTTTGCGGAACTGTGCTACTGTGCATAGGCGTTCAAGCTTTGTGGCTGCTGCTCCCACAATGACATCTACAAGTCTTTATTTCCTGTAAGGCAGTTCAGCAGCACGTACAAGTACTGACTGCAGCATTTTTTGTAGTAGCTCTATGATCTCTGGTCCCATGGCTGTAGATTCCACAGAATATATAATTTGTTTTGATCCTGGGAGACTTGCAAAATTTGCAGAAAGTTTATGAAGGGGTTGGGGGAAGAGAACTTCCTTTGCCTAAATGTATATTCAGTGAATGACCTAAATATATGTTGGATAAAACCTTTCATTAAAATCTTTTGTTTGGGGCACTGAGAAATCTAGACTGTCTTCAACTGTGACCCCAGCTAGAATGCTATGGACTTGTTTGTGCAGATTTCATGCTTTGAGGCAAAAGTGGGAAGCAGTGAAAAGTGCGCGCGAGCGAAATAGAGGCTGCGTTTCTCTTCCCTTCCCCTTCCTCTTTGTTGAGACATCCAGCGTTAAACCCTTGGGCTTGTGCTTTGTCAAGTACCCAAACGCACACATAAACAATGATGTGATCGTAAGGGACCAGCGCTTTGCCCCTCGGTCTCTGTCACGGGGCCTTTGCTCTCGGGCTGACGTTTTGTAATTCTTTTCCCAACAGCCAGTGCTGTGAAGCTGAACAAGCAACAGACAGATATTGCTGTGAATTGGGCAGGAGGCCTTCACCACGCTAAAAAGTCGGAGGCTTCTGGCTTCTGTTATGTCAACGATATCGTCTTAGCTATCTTGGAGCTCCTAAAGTACGGGCAGTACTATTTACCCCTTTTGTTTGCCAATTCTGCTGCATTTCCTCTGAGTCCTTAGCGCTTTCATCCCAGCCTGCTCTTTTTGTTGGGTTTTTTTTTAGCTGTGTTTTCCCAGGAGGGCTTAGTCAGCTATCTTTTGGGGTGCAGTGCCTTCTCTCCCAAAGGGCTATGTCTAACTGTGGCATTGTGCAGGAGGCAGAAGGCTTGGAGCATTGTGTGGTTGCTCTTAGGCCCTTCTCTACCATCCACCCTGGAACAGGCAGCACAGCTATATATGTGATGGCTTTTGGCTGAAGCCAAACCTCAGTGGGAGGCTTGGACATAAAAATGCAGTCTGTTGGCTGAATCTGAATAAACTGAGTTTAGTCTGCCTTCAAAGATCGGTTACAGCAGCAAAAGCCACTTTATTTTCCTCTGTGGTTCTGTTCCACTGCTGACCAAGGCACATCTCCGTTCTCTGCAGCTCTTTTGCTTGTAGACTCCGGAGAGAGAGAGCGAGCTGCCTGGTAGCTCTGCAGCCTGGGGATTAGCACCAAGTTCCTTGCTCTCTTCCCATTTGCTCTGCTGGTGAAGGCAGTTTCCGCTCTGAAGAAATGCGGTATTTTGACCCCTTTCTGATCCTAGGTATCACCAGAGAGTGCTGTATATTGACATTGATATTCACCATGGAGATGGCGTGGAGGAAGCCTTTTACACCACAGACCGCGTCATGACCGTGTCCTTCCATAAGTACGGAGAATACTTCCCAGGAACAGGGGATCTGCGGGTGAGAACGAAGGCTTAGCAGAAAATTACCCTGAAATTTGGTCTTTTCCATCTGTTTGCTGGCATACTAATTTAACTAAAATCACTGCTCTCCTGGTTTTTCCTGCTCTCAAAGTGGCATCCTTTTTCTGAGGGCAAAGGTGTATATGTGAGGCAGAGGCTTGGCTCCTGTGTGCTTTGTTCCTGTGATCATAGCCTGTACAGTAATAAAACCAAGGCTTTGATATCAGTCTCTTAGCAGCCTTCTGGTGGGATTATGCTCAGAAAAGTGACTCTGAAGATGACATGTTGGTCATCTGTAGCTACTTGCAAATGAAGCTTGGTCACACAAGCTCTTGGGTGAAAGTTTGAGGGAGTGCTTCTCTGTGTGTTGGTTTATCTTGTGTGCATTTCCTCCTATGAGTCAGTTGTGCGTATTAACAAATCGTGGCATTAACTGTGGCACTCTTTCGGGTTAGCTACAGGTGTGGTTGGCTTTGTGACTTCTGACATTGTCAGAATGCTGTTCTCAGGGGTGAAAGGTTCTTTACCTTTTCTTATGTGCTTTTTAGCAGAATGACATTTTTCTAATCTAAATTCTCTTGTCTTCCACTTGTGAGTTGTATTTTTTTCAGCCCTGCCCAGAGTTTGGCACTGGTGTTGTGAACTTGTGTGCAGCTGCAGTATTCTTCCCTGGTGCAGCTGGTCTGCAGCGTAAATGAAATAATTATTTTTTTATAAAACACTTGGGTATGAGAGAGATAATGGAAATGTAAAAAATACATATATTCTTTTAAAATAAAAATAAATTCCTCCACTTACTAGACTGCACAATCACCGCCAACTGGTATTTTGGGCTGTGCATCTCTGCAGTGTACAGGTTTGGAACTAGAATTTTGACTGCCAGTTCTATTGCTGTGTGAGAGAGTGGTTCTTGCCAGTGAAATGACAGCCTGTGTGCTCACAGCAGCAGCAACATGAAAGTGGTGACAGTAGTAGATCTTTCTTCTCTGAGCACTGGGGGCCAAATGTACCCGGTTACGCCAAATGAGCTGTTCTTGGAGTCAACTGACTCTTGCTGCCTTTTGCTGGGACAGTATTCATCCGTGAGAGCCTAGGCTTGCAGTCGGATGACCTCTGGAATCCCAGACTTCCCTTCCTAATTTAGGGCACTATTTGTGTGTTGCATTTGGTTCTCTGGTGACTTGTGGTCTCTCCTGTCTCTCGCTCTAATAGGATATTGGTGCAGGCAAAGGCAAGTACTACGCTGTCAACTATCCCCTGCGGGACGGAATTGATGATGAGTCCTATGAAGCAATATTCAAGCCGGCAAGTGAAGACATCTTTGCTGAGTGATTCTTTGTGGATCATACTTTGTCATTCTTTGGGGAGACTGATTCAGTCCTCTGTGATAAGATTCTTTAGGGGCTGTATTCCTCCCTAACAATTGCAGCCTGTGGTCAGTAAGCTTCTCTTTGTAAGAGCCTCAGTGTTACTGATATAGGGGACTCAGCAGCTGTGGGAACACTAGGGATGTCTTCGTGTCACTTGCTGACATGGGCATTAGTGTGTTGCTGTGACGCTGTCCTGCAGAGAGCGTGTAACAACGGGTTTCTTGTTTAGGTGATATCTAAAGTGATGGAGACGTTCCAGCCTAGCGCAGTTGTCTTGCAGTGCGGGTCAGATTCTCTGTCAGGGGACAGGCTGGGTTGTTTTAATCTGACCATCAAAGGTAAGAGTACCGTCCAGTGCTTATGTCCATCTGGCATCACCAATATCATTAGATTTCATTGAAAAATTTGTTGTTCTTACGCCATGAGGCTATGACCTTTTCCCCCACTGCTTTTGCTGCAGGTCATGCCAAGTGTGTGGAGTTTGTAAAAAGTTTTAATTTGCCTATGCTGATGCTGGGAGGAGGTGGCTATACGATCCGCAACGTGGCTAGATGCTGGACATATGAGACTGCTGTGGCTTTGGACACTGAAATTCCCAATGGTAATTCTCCCCTGGAGCCTTTGAAGCAAGACTAAGGGACAATGACACTCTAGTAACAGAGCTCATGGAAATGATGTTGCTGTGGGAGAGGTAGCAATCCTAAGATGTTTCATTAGCTCTTGATTATTACTGTGGAAGAGCTTTTGGATGCCCTGATTTGCAGTAGCTGTTCTTGTTTGCATTCTAGTCCTGTAGCTTTGGCCTCCAGCAAAAGATACCCAGCAGCCTTGCTGCTTACTGAAACAAGATGACCTTCTACTGAAAACTTTTGTGTGCACTGATAGTGTTTAAGCTTTGACTGCACTGTTGCTAAGTTGTCTGCTTTGGTCTGAACTCAGGCTAGGAGTGCTTCAGCTCCTAGGCCTAGGTAAATGCAGTCATGCTTTTCTGTAGAAGTACAATGTGTTTGTGGTATTTTGTCACCAGTCCAGTGGTAATTTGGTGTTTATTCCTCTTTTAACTTGCCTGCAGAGCTTCCATATAATGACTATTTTGAGTACTTTGGACCAGACTTTAAGCTCCACATCAGTCCCTCGAACATGACTAACCAGAATACCAATGAGTATCTTGAGAAGATCAAGTAAGTGTTTGCTCCTCTTCCTGAGATTGACACCTTCTACTGGGGGTTTCGCAGCTGCGGGTGGTGTCTTGCTGACAGAGGTGTTCCCTTCCTGGCTGGCTCTAGGCAACGTCTCTTTGAGAATCTGCGCATGCTGCCTCATGCCCCTGGCGTCCAGATGCAGCCAATTCCTGAGGATGCTGTTCAGGAAGACAGTGGAGATGAAGAGGAAGAAGATCCTGAGAAACGCATTTCAAGTATGTGCTTGTCTCTGGCATTGCCCGGCTGGGAAGCGTACTGTTCAGAGCCTGTGGGTGCAAAACTGAACAGGATCAATTAGCTGGAGAAGCACGCAGGCCCTAAACTGAGTTACCCTAGTTAAAGAGAGGAGGATTTACGATTTAGGTATATCTCTATTCTGGAGTTCTTCAGTTTGAATCTGTTCCCACCTTTCTGATTGTTTTTGTAAGGTAAAGCAATGATGCTAGGCACTGCAGAGCTGATAGATTTCTTTTTCCTTGGAGAAACGGCACTGTTGCCAGACGATTTCCATAATGGGAGAACCTAGGCTTTAATGTGAGAACTTAAACAGTTCCTGTGATGTAGGTGCTATGACAGTACTTTCTGGGAGACTGTCAGGTTTGATCCCAGAAGTTGTCTCCACAGTGAAAATGCTAGTTTATATCCAGATTGGCTGATGGCCTTCAGATCTGGCAGACAGGTTTTCTCAGTGTGAGGTTGGTTAACCTGCTTATGCTGTCAAGTCTAGACATCACACTGTACCTAATCCAAGTCATACATGTGATCTCGGATCTGAAGCACGAGCAGTTAAGAGTGATGCATTAGAAGATATGGCAGGTAGAAAGATAAAGTGTTTTTATCGTGGCCTAATTCTGACTTAATATAGGCTCGTTAGTTCATTCCAGTGTGTAGATGTACTTGCAGGAGTTAGTGCTTGGAGTCTCCTGACTTTTAAATCTGCTAAAACAACCTCTTGTCCTCTTCGCACTCAGTCCGCAATTCCGATAAAAGAATATCCTGTGATGAAGAATTCTCTGACTCTGAAGATGAAGGGGAAGGAGGGCGCAAAAATGTTGCCAACTTTAAGAAGGCTAAACGTGTGAAAACAGAAGAGGAAAAGGAGGAGGAGGAGAAGAAAGGTAAGTATGAGAGCTAGGACTGGAAGCTCTCCCAGCTCTGTGGAACTTTACCTGGCATCTACTTCCTTACTGTACTATTGTGTGTCTTTTTTTTTTCTGTTTTCCTAGATGAGAAAGAAGAGGAAAAAGCAAAAGAGGAGAAAGCAGAACCCAAAGGGTGAGCCCTGTCTCCTGGCATGACTATTAAATGGCTGTGCCTGTGCTTCCGTGTGCATCTGCCCGTGCCCCCAGTGGGATGTTGCACAACTTGAGGGGTTGGAGGAGATGATGTGGTAATTCGGAAGGCTTTATCACAGGCTCTTAATAGGAAGAAGTTTGCATGTGTAGAACAGCACGCCTGATAAAGCGCTGTGAGAGCAGAGCCCTCAGTGAAAAGGCCTTAAAAGTACTGCGCCTTCATTCAGCAACACGTTACATGTTTTAGATGAAGGTGGGCTGTATAAGCAGCATTTTTTAAGTTTGTGGCTCTGGCTTGTTATTAAAGCTTGGGCACAGCCCGAATTGCTTGTTTAAATCAAATTTCTTCACTGCTTGCTTCCACAGGGTGAAGGAAGAGACAAAATCCACCTAAGATGGCTGCAGCTGGACAGTATGTCAGTGTGTAGTTGTCATAGGTTAGCTTCTCTGGTTGCCTCCCATTCCACAGGATTTATATTTTATATATGTTTCTGTATATATTTCTATATAAATATATAAATGACTTGAGAATTGTAAATTATTCCTTGCTGCACTCTGCTGGGAGCAGATAGGGAGGATTCTGCAGAGTAGACAGACCTGCACTGCCCAGATTTGGTGACTGGGAAGTTTCGCTCTTGCCTTCCACTGCCTCCTTAGTATGTCTTTAAAAAAATCACTTCCTTTCTTTACTCTGTCCTCTGACATAACCACCCTTGGAAAAGAATAATTTAAGTAGAAGTAGTATTTGCATTTCAGGTTAGGTGGAAAGATGGCCATGAAAATTTTTTTTTCTCTTTTTTTTTTTTAATTATTATTGTGGGAGAACATGAGTTCCCAAATGAAGCCTGTGAGAGACTGACTATTCCTTTGGTCTTCAGTTTGATTCCACCGTGGCAAGTAACTGCAAGCTGGTGCCGCTTCTCAGGGTCAAATAGTGCAGTTCTTGAATAGAGTTGGCTACCTCCCTGCAGCAAACTTGTGGAAAGAGATGAAGCAGCTCAAAAGCGATCTGAAAAGCGCTTTAGTGAATCAGCCCAAGAGCCCTGCAGGTGCAGATCTGGAAAATGCAAAATGAAAATCACCCTAATGTGGTGGTTAACATTTTCCAAGATCTTGCAGATCCAGTTAGTGTGACAGCATTATACATCTTGAGTAAGAGAAGAGATGAAATTTTTATACCTTTTTTTCTATACCTATGCCCCTCTTTGGGGGAGGAAGCGAGTTACTGCCCGTTTGGCTGCCTGCTTTGCTTTTCTTGCTTGTTCTGCCCTCGGCTCCACATGCTGTAATGTGCTTCCTCAGTACTGACTTGTGTCCTAGGCTGAAACCTCTGCAGAAGCTCCCAACTCCTCTAAAGGCCAGACCGCACCGAGCCTGGCTGAAACCTCTTGTCGATGTCACTCGCTGAAAAACACTTCTCTGAAGTGAAGTACAAATGTTTTCCAATTGAACCTTTCCTCCCTCTTGCTCTCAAGGCCAGTAAATATGGAGAACCTTTTTATCAGCCTCTGAGCTGTTATCTTTATAAGGGAACAGCAGATGGGGCTCTGTGCATTTTTTACAGCTACTCCTCTTCCTACTCCCACGCATTATCTCACACCTAAAAGTCTTTTGTGACCAGAACTGGCCTTTCCTTTGCATCTTGTTTTGTACAGCTGATCATTAGATGAGCTTTTGGTGAAATGCTTTGCAGTTTTGCAGGCAGTTTTGGCTCGCTGCTCTCCTTTCTCAGGGGGATTCCTCTGTCCATAAGAGGATCTGTACCTCCCACGGAGCGCTGCTGATGGTTTCAACTCTAATAATGCTGCTAACTTAACACAGGTTATTTTTTAAATGTTTTATTTTTTTAAATACTTTTTTTCCCTTTTCCACCGTGAGTTTTTTAGTCTCTTTGGATCTGAGTGACGTGTCACTCCTGCTCTTCAGTGTTTGTATGTGAAGCGCGAGAGATCAGTGTATCTTTGTGTCTGGGGGGGAAATATATTGTGGTTTTTTAAAGATGCTTTTATTTTGAATTTTGAGAATCTTTGTAATAAAACTGGTACATTTCTATGTTTGGTGTGATTTTGTGCTTGGTTAGAGTGGGAGTTCAGTTTGTTTTTCATGTTTGGAAAATGGTGCAGTACCTCCATCACGATGTGGTGTAGGTCCCAACAAGAAAAAAAATCTTTGGGAAGAAAGGTGAGGCGAGGTATGATGATTTTTTTTTTTTCTCCATTCCCCTCTTTCACAAAGAGGGCTATAGATGTGTTGATTCAAGTGCATCCACTGAAGCATTTTATTTGGAACATAATCTGTGCTGCATGTGAAAGATTGTTTCTGTTTCTTTTGTGGATATTTTTCTCCCTCCCTGTTTTATAAAATAGCCTTGAAATTCTCCTTGTGACCTTTCTCTCCAGAAAAGGTAAGTTAAAATACCACGGATTTTCTTTGCTCACAGTTCTCTTTCTAAATTACAGCTGGGGTCTCAGCCAGCAGCATGGCTGATGCTAATTGGGTTTGTGGTTTGTTTGGAGTTACAGTACTTCACGCAGCTGATGCTCTGAAAGCAATGCTAATCTAGAAAAGGAATAATAAGTTATGGGAAGGGAGTATCTTTTGCATGGACTTAAGTGGGTTTTTTCTGGTATTCAAGTGAAAAAAATTCTTTAACATAATGAGGAGCAGGTTAATTCAGCAACTGAGTGGTGATCGCACCAGAAATGGACACAAAAGGTTCATAAGCCAAATCTGCTGTTTATGTAGTTAAAAAAAAAAAAGCTTTGTGTGGCACAGTTTACTTTCATTGCTGTAGTAATAATCCAGGAAACTTAGTTATCCTTTTCACCATAGTAGACAATTAAAATCCTCTCATCCTTGCAGAAAACCCACCGTAGAATTCCAGTTACCCCTACCAGCTTGTGCGTGCCAGTGAACTGCCGTCCTCCTCTCCTCCAGTGTTTCTTAAAATGGCTGCCGCAATGCTGACAGCAGCTCCCTGGCAGATACACGGAGCCCCGGATCGCGGCTGGAGCACAATGCAGCCATGTCTCGCACAACAGAGTGTGAGCAATCTTGGAAATAATTTGCAGATCACAGTGCCTACATTTAAAATACCTTTTTTTTTTTTTCCTCTTTTTGCCTCCCTAACGACTAGGGATGAATACCTTGCTGCATCTGGAAGCAGGTCACTTGCTTTAGCTTCCTGCTATCGCTAGGAAGATGCGCTGCATAAAAGGAAGAATTTTTGGCCATTTCCACTTACATGGAGGGCTACAGAAGAGCTGTGCTTGGTCCTCACCATGGTGGTGCCAGTTGGGCAAACAACAGTCCATTGCTTTTCTCCATCATCTCAAACAGCAGGGGCAGGTGATTAGATGGGAATTAGGCGCAGGCCATTAAATGGAGGGGCTGTGCACTGCTGCAGCAGCCTAAGCTGCTGACAGAGCCTTTGGGCTCTGAGCTGCTGGAGAAGAACAGTGCTCCTTCCTTCTGCTGCATGCCTGGCTCGCGGGGGGGGGAAATCACCTCTAGCCCTGTGCAGATCACAGGAAAAAGGGTAGTGGCACCCATTGTGCCTTCATTTTCTCTTTGAAAGTAAAGCTCCATTCCCAGTGCATAGTTCTTGCGCTCTAGCATGTCTTTTCAGGAAAGATGAGCCAATCCTATTCTAAAACTACTAATTTTTTTTTTTGTTTAATTAAAACAAGCTTAAAATGGGCATTTCCCCCAGTAGCCCTCTTGGGCCCCTCTGTATGAGAAAAGACTGGTTTCGCCCCCCCCCCCCCCCAAAAAAATCAAGTTAAATCTCTAAGAAAACAGGTACTGAGCAGCCAGCTGAAGGGTGATCCTAAGGTAGTGACAAGAGGCTTGTGTGAGAAAGTCCTTTGTGGCTGTAGCTCTACATCTGCTGCAAGTCAATTAACTGCAAGCAGAGCCAGGGCTGGAGTGATTAAATGCAGCAGCTGGTGAACTAAATAAGCCACTGCTATCTTCCTTCCCTGGCCCTCGTCTGGCATCCAGGACAAGAAGGACTCAAGCTCACCCATGAAGGGGTCACCATTTATTCCTTTCAAATGTTACAATAAGCCCATACAGCTTTTTTTTTTTTTTTAGAAGTTAGAAAATTGCAAATCAAGTGTTTCGGCCATTAAAAAATTATTTACAGAGAAAAGACTGTTGTTTCACATTATACAGCTGGCAGGCCCCCTCCCTCCACCCCACACCCTAAAAGTTATTTATCCCTCAGAAGCAGAATTAAACACAGCGGACTTACAAGCTTTATGGTTTTAAGCCAATAGTAAGACATTATAAAAACCCTAACTAGATTAGCTTTTAAACCATTGATTTCTAGAAAAAGCACAAAATACTTTAAATGAAGTCAGAACCAGGAATGTAAACTGAGAAAAAAAGAATCCATTGAACAGTCACTGGCTTGCTGGGCTTCAAAGGCTGCCGGGGCAGAGTGGGGACAGTCAGGAGGCCAGCAGAGATACCAGAGCGGGATGCGAGATCTTACAAACTGTAAATTCCAGTTATGTCCAGGATAGTCTTCCTCCACAGTTTTAAAGGATTCAGGTAAAACTACTCCAAGCTGTGGTGGTGGGAATCCAAACCGCCTTTCTAATAGGGGAGCGGAAGAAGTATCTCAAGGAGGGATGGATTTTAGAAAGCGTTGTCAGTTCTAGGTGGGTTGGGGAGGTGTGAGGGCAAGGCAGCGAGTCCGTGGTGTTACCGGGATGGAGAGGATGGCGTAAGAGTCTGAAGTCAGGATGATGCCAAGTGGGCTCTACTCTTCCTTCTGCTCTGCTGCTGCCGGAGTTGTTGTAGGCTCAGGCCCTGCAGGTTTTGAGGGCTCCTCTGGTTTGGCTGTATCCCCCTGGCTTTCCCCTGGCTGCTGCTTCTCTTCCTCCTTGCTTCCCCCTGCTTCTGCACCCTCCCTCTTGGGCTCAGCTCCCTGCTGCCCATCCACCGCAGGACTGCTCTCCCCGGGGCTGCCCTGCTCCTCCGCTGTCCCCTCCTCGGGGGGAGCGGACGGCTCCGTCCCGCTGGCCGAGCAAGCGGGGTTCTCCTCTCCCTTGGCCTCCGCCTTGCCTTGGTCCTCCGTGGGAGAGGACCCAGAGGAGTCCCCGGCTTCCTTCTTGTTCTTCCGAAACGAGATCCCGCTTAGCTTGAAGGATTTCTTGAACGAGAACTTCTTCTTCTTCTTGGGGGTGTCCTTGGGGGCTGCAGCACCCTCGGGTTTAGCATCCCCCCCTTCGGCGGGGGGAGCGGGCTCGATGGCATCCCCGCCGCCGGGCTCGCCCTTGCTCTCCTC